GTCATGGACCAATCTAACGTTTCAAATAAAGAACCGATGAGATTTTGCAAATTTTATGCGTTTTTTTTAAAAAAAAAGGTATCAAGCTCTTAAAAAATCACCCGTTACCACTAGCTCTACACGTGCAACAACACTTAAAAGCAGTGAAAATAATTTTTGTTCTAGTTTTAAATAATTTGCTTAAGTTTCACGGTGCGACAGTAAATTTTACATACAAAAATCAATACAGTGTTGTCGTAGACCATCTGTCCAGCCCCTCTAAAATGAAGGGAAATTTTTATTTTTTAATTGAAAAACGCAAAAATATGACCTACGAAATCGGGTGGTATAACTGACTTTCGGTTTTGACTGAAGGGCCTTTTTCGCCCTTAAATAAGTGAACTTTTTTTGTTTTATTGGAAAACGAAAGAAATATGAATAATCAATTCGTAGATGCTCCATGCCTTCGTCGTAGCACTGACTTCTTGTTTCAACCGAAAGTGGGTTAAAGCAGACCCAGAAGTACATTATTTTAACCGAAAGTCCATTTTAGAAAACAAGTTTCCGAAAAAGGTTGTGTAATTTTGTCCGCACAAACCAAATATGTGGTAAAAAAAGAAATGTCACATTTAAAAAAATTGGCTTCCGGCCAGTTTAACCCATATCCGGACGAAGCCGGAAGCCGGTAATACCACCGAAAACACTTTCCCTCCATGGTAGAGGGGTTGGACGGGTGGTCTGCGATTAAACTGTAATTTTTTATTACAGAAATGCCATCCATTACGATCCCTGCTTATAAGCGTTAAACCACAGCAAGAATCAAACATATAACTACATACATAGAGAACAACTTGTTTAAGAGAAAAGCTAGTATTTTCAAGTTTGAAAAAAAAACAAATGCATAAAAGTGCTAGTATTTTTAGTGTTCACTGTGTAGAGTTGCAATATTTATGTTTAACTAATTATAATTTTTTGTTTGTATATTTTTTTTTTTAGTGCTGCTCTCTACCTTGTACATTGACAAATGTCTTTGTTAGCGCTTCGCCTATCTTATTGCTGGCCACACACTTGTATTCGCCATCGTTCTCGGGGAATACTTCTGTTATTTGCAACTGACATAAACCATCGGCATCCTGTGATATCAACGTCTCTTTGGTTTCAACCACTTTCTCTTCATTGTGGTACCATTCCACCTTCGGTGTAGGCTTGCCAACCGCTTTGCATGTGAGTAATAATGCTTCGCCATCCATTACTATAATCGACTCTAATAATTCTTCAACGAATCGTGGCGATTCGAATTCTTCCACAGTTTCTTGTGGACTATCTTCCAGTAATTTGACGGTCGCTGTGGATGTAACCGAGCCACCTACATTCTCCGCACGACAAGTATAGTTACCGACGAATTTCGTTTGGAAGTTTTCTATCAACAGTGTAGACTTGTTCGCTTGTGAAACTATACGACATTCGTTCGAACTCTTGATCGGCTCAAGATTGATAAACCATTGGAATGATGAGAGTGGTTCTGATTCTACCAGCACTTCTAATATGGCCACTTCATTCTCGCCAAAGTATTGCGGCTGTAGTGGTTGTATGAATCGTGGTGGTATAATCTGTTTGTCGGGTGCTTGATCGGTCACCATCACCGAACCAGAGGATTTGGCTTCACCCACTTTATTCTTGGCGCACACCTCATATTTGCCCGTGCGTTTGCGATTCATATTGACAATCTTGATTGTGGTGGTCGTTTCTGTGGTTTCAATGGTAATGTCTTCATTGATTTGTATCTCGCGGCCATTGCGCAGCCACGTAATTTCCGGACGTGGTGAACCTTCATACTTGGCCTCGTACAACAAAGTACCACCAGTGGGTATAACCTTTGCACTGAGCGGTGTCACCTTTGGTGGCTTCAATACCTCTAGTGGTGCCTCGTCGACGCGGCTAAGTATGTTGGCATTGCCAATGGCGCGTCCGAAATCGTTTTGTGCTTGCACGGAGTATGTAATGGCTTCATTGGGTGTGGGGTTGATGATTTCCAATGCGACATCGCCGGTCTCTTCGTTGTAGAAGGTTTGCACAGACTCGCTGGGTATGACTTCTTCAGTGCCGCGGTACCATTTCACATCTGGCATTGGCTTGCCAACTACTTGACATGTCACAGTAACTCTCAATAATTCGGGTTCCTTTTCTTCTGTGAACTCGATTTTGAGTGGTTTTGTGAACTGTGGTGCAATGCCTTGTTCTTTTTCTAAACGTTTGAATATTTTAAGAGCAGGTAAATTGTATGTAATTTTTGTAAAAGTGATGTATGTACGTACATAAATATGTATTATTGGGAGACATTGAATACATTTGTACATAAAAAGTAGGAACTAGAAAGGCTTACAATAGAAACAAAAAAAAAATTACAGTAAATATTCTAAAGCTGTTGTACACGCAAATGTAACAATATCCCATAAATGCTCAAAGTATCTCAAACGCGTAACATCTAACATTTGTATACTTATATTTTTCTATATATGTACATTAACATTAAACTAGTTTCGCGTACTCACCTAAGAATATGTTGGCTCGACTTGTTGCCACGCCGGCCTCGTTGCGCGCCTCGCAAGTGTACACGCCAACATCGCTTGGCGTAACCTTGGCGATCTTCAATTTGGCCACATCTTCCATTACCGTAATTTCATACTTTTCCGAAGCAAAGAGTAGCACGTCGTTGAAATACCAGCTAATTTCTGGGAATGGCGTGCCCTCTATCTTGCACTCCAATTCGGTGGGCGCCTCCGGTGTACACATAACTGGTCGCAATTTCTCGGTAATGCGTGGTGGTTTGATTTCCTTCTTCTTCTTGCGCACCAGCTTACGTTCCTGCTGTTGTACTTCTGATGTTGTGGTCTCCTCCTTTTGAGGCACCGTTTGGTCTTCAATCAATTCCTCATCGGGCAGCATATCGATACCCTCTTGTATACGCTTTTGTGTGATCAATTCGAGCTCGGGCAGCGGTTGGCTATCGTCCAGTATGATGCGCCGTGTTTCTTTCTTGACAATGTTCGACGTAACTTTCATGTCAATACCTCTGCGTACGTCATCTACGTCGAGCTCAATTAATTGCTCCGTAGTGATGAATTGAGGTCGATTATCTTCAGTCTTCTTAAGTTGAATAGTCTTTTGTGAGATTTCCTGTGAGGATTCTTGTGTGATAATTTCTTCGGCTTCAAGGTCAACAATTTCGGCTTCAAGCAGCTTTGGTTGCTCTTCGAATGATACATCCTTTAGACGTTTTGTGCGTTTCTTATGGGCCTTTTGCTTGGTGGTGGGCAAATCGTCGGTGGGTACGACCTCTTCTTCTGGCAGAACTTCCTCAGAAACAGCAACTTCCTTGACCTCGTCAATAGGAATTTCGTCGACTTGATCCTCTTCAGTTATGGGTTCATTGAATGGTTCAGCTATTTCTTCAGTTATTTCATCAACGGACGGCGTTGCTTTCTTCAACTTAGGTTTCTTCTTCTTTTCTTTCTTTGGCTTTTCTTTTTGTGGCTCCGCTTCGTCTTCCACCGGTATTGGTGTGATTTCAAGTTCCTCATCTTCTGGTTGTGGTCGTTCTTCAGGTGCCAATTTTGGTGCATGAACTTCCTTGATTGGCTTTTCTGGCTCTTCTTTTGGCTTTTGTGGAATGGGCTTGAGTGTTACTTCTTCTGGTTGTTCCTCCGGACGTGGTTTCCTCTTGCCAGTCGGCCACTGTTTCTCTTCAATGGGTTCCTCAACTGGCTTCTTCTTTTCGCCGCGCTTCCAAGGGACTTGCGGTTGTGGCTCCTGTACGATCGGCTCCTTTTCGATATCGAAATGCTCAGCCTCTTCTAGTTGCACCGGCTCCGCATCTGGAATTTCCTGTAATTCTTCAGGTTTCGGCTTCTTAACTCTCTTTGTCTTCTTCTTTTCCTCAACAATAATTTCCTCAGCTTGTTTTTCGACATGTTGAAGCACAACTTCTTCTAGTTTTTGCTCCTCAGGCACTTGATCTGGCCGCTTCACAGGTTTCAATTTGACTTCCTCAACGCTTTGCTCTTCTGGAAGCTCCTTTTTAACTTTTCTGATCGGTTTGAGGGCAACTTCTTCGACCTTTTCTTCAACAGGTACTACTTTTGGTTTTGGTTTGGGCCGTGGAACAGCTTCTGGCTTTTCAACCACTTCCTCTGTTGGCTGTTCTTCAATTTCTTCTGCAGGTATGGGCTCTACCTCCTCTTCTTCCTCTATTTCTTCGGCCGGTTGTTCGGTTTCCTCCACTTCTTCCTGTTCAGCTGTCTTCTTCTTGGGCTTCTTCTTCTTTACACGTTTCTTAGTGACTTCCTCACTGACTTCTTCAACGACCTTTTGAGGCACTTCTTCGTCGGAATACACCTCTATTTCCTTGGGTTGTTGCACGTCTTCTGAAATCGAGACTTTTTTGATTGGTTTGAGTGTAACTTCCTCCGGCTTTTCTTGCTCAGGCTTCGGTAACTGTTTGCGTGGTACTGGTTTCAGCGTAACCTTCTCGACCTGTTCAGGTTCTTCTGGCTTAATGCTCTTCCGTTTAATCGGAGCCTTTTCTTCTGGCACTGGTTCTTCTGGTTTAAGTTCTTCTTCTATTTCCTCTCCTTGAACCTCTTCGGGTTGAACTTCTTCAGTATCTTCCTCAGTCTTTATCTTTTTAGGTTTCTTAACCTTCTTCACCTTTATTTTCTTTTCTTCAGTGGCTTCTTCTACTTTGATATCTTCGGTAGTCTCTTCAACTTCCTTGGGTTGTTGCACGTCTTCTGAAATCGAGACCTTTTTGACTGGTTTGAGTGTAACTTCCTCCGGCTTGTCTTGCTCAGGCTTCGGTAACTGTTTGCGTGGTACTGGTTTCAGCGTAACCTTCTCGACCTGTTCAGGTTCTTCTGGCTTAATGCTCTTCCGTTTAATCGGAGCCTTTTCTTCTGGCACTGGTTCTTCTGGTTTAAGTTCTTCTTCTATTTCCTCTCCTTGAACCTCTTCGGGTTGAACTTCTTCAGTATCTTCCTCAGTCTTTATCTTTTTAGGTTTCTTAACCTTCTTCACCTTTATTTTCTTTTCTTCAGTAGCTTCCTCTACTTTGATATCTTCGGTGGTCTCTTCAACTTCTTCGTCTGGAACATCTATACTTAGAATCTCCTCATCTTCTCGTAACTTTGGTTTCCGCAGCTTCCTCTTTGTCTTTTTCTCCACAATTTCTCTCGTCTCTAGTTCTTGTTTGTGCTCTTCTATTGTTGGCTGTATTTCTTCCGGTATATCTTCACCGATTTCTTCTTCCTCAGCCTCAGGCATTACTTCTACCGTCTCGAGTTCTTGTGTATCAGTAGGTTTGTGTTTGATTTTCTTAACCTTTTTCTTCTCAACCACTTCCTGTTCTTTTATTTCTTCCTTCTGCGTTTCGACAATTTCAACTTCCTCCTTCTTTGGAGTTTTCGGTTTCTTCTTGCCCCGTTCCCATAATACAGCTTTCTCTTCTGGTAGCTCCGGCTCTGGCTCCTCCAATACATCGACCACTTCTTCTTGAGTAGGTGCTGGCAATTCTTCTGGTTTCTCTTCAGTAACCTTGACAGGTTTCTTCTTCCTGCCACGTTGCCACATGACCGGCTGTGGTTGTTCTTCTATTTCAGCGACGTCTTCTGTTATTTCATCAACAACTTCTTCGAATGCTTTTGTAGGCTGTAGTGGCTTCTCTTCTTCGACTTGCTTTTGCTGTGGCCGTTGCAGAGGTTTCAGTTGAACTTCTTCTGGCTTAGGAGCTTCTTTCGGTTTTTGCCTAGGAGTAGGTTTGAGTACCACTTGTTCCATCTTTTGTTCTGGTTCCTGTGGAATGATCTTGCGAACAGCCTTCTTTTTGGTTTCTTCAACAGCAATCACTTCTTCAGAAACCGACTCTTGCTTTATTTCTTCAACCTGGGTAACTTCTTGTGGCAGCGGTTTCACCCGTTTTCCACGCTCCCATACGGCGGGTTGTGGCTGTTCTGGTTGCTGTGGAATTGGTTCCTCAATTAGTTCATCAACAGCTTCTTCATCAACTTTTGTGGGTTGCTCTTCCACCTTCTGCTCTGTAGGTTTGGCCGGTTTCTTTTTACCACGCTCCCATATAACTGGTTGCTCTTGTTTCTCTGCCTGTTGTACCTTCTGCTCTTCAGGAAGATCATCGACTGCTTCCTCATATGCTTGGCTTGGTTGCTGCTGTTCCACTTCTGCGGCACGTGTGGGTTGCGGCCGTTTAGTTGGCTTAAGCTGTACTTCTTCTGCTTTGGGCGTCTCTTTCGGTTTTTGTCTTGGTGTTGGCTTAAGCACCACCTGTTCCATTTTCTGTTCAGGCTCCTGTGGTATTACCTTGCGTGCGACTTTCTTAACATCTGCCACCACAGTTTGTTCTTCAGTGATTCGTTCTTCAACAGTTTGTTGTTTCTCTTCTACCTGTTGTGTTTCCTGAACTTGGGCTGTTGGTTTTTTCTTGCCACGATCCCACAATACAGGCTGAGGTTGTTCTGGCTGTTGAGTGGCAGCCTGCTCTGGCAGCTCATCTACAGCTTCCTCATAAGCTTTTGTTGGCTGTTCAGCAGTTACTTCATCTGCTTTAATAGGCTTTTTCTTTCCCCGTTCCCACATAACCGGCTGTGGTGCCTCAGGTTGTTGTGGTCTTTCCACTTCCTCGAGTGTGGCCAAAGCTTCTTCAAAGCCGCGGGTTGGCTGTTCTTCGACAGTATGTGTAGCCTGTGTGCGCTTCAGTGTTTGAATTTGGATTTCTTCAGTATTTTCTGGTAATTTGGGACGTGGTCGAGGTGTAGGCTTTAGTAAAACTTGTTCCATCTTTTGTTCAGGCTCACGCGGTGCAATTGTTTTGCGTACGGTAGTTTTCTTGGTTTCTTCAACAAATTGTTGTTGCTCAATGATTTGCTGTTGATCAATAATTTGCTGTTCGGCCACCTCTGAAATTTGCTGAGTACCGTTCATTTGCTGGTGCTGAGTAGTTACCTTCTTTCTACCGCGTTCCCACATAACTGGTGTAGGCTGGTCTGTTGGTTGCACAGGCGCAGGTTGCTCCGGCAACACATCAACTGCTTCCTCGTATGTCTTAGGCTGCTCTGGATACTGTGCAGCGGGTTTTTGCGGTCGAGGCTGTGCTTGTTGAGGCAGCGGCTTCTTACTGCCACGATCCCACATAGTTGGTTGTGGTTGTGTGAATTGCTGTTCTTCAGTATCTTGCCGCTCTTGAATGGCTAGTCTGGTCGAATCTTCTACTTGCTGGAATTCTTGTGTTTGCCTCTGTTGGCGCCAATCCACCGTTTTTTCATCCTGTGTACGTTTCATCATTTGAAGGTGCTCGTGCTCTTGAATACTCATCATTTTCGTGTCTTCAACGCTGGTGTACTTTTGCTGTTGCAAGCTTTGTGTGAACTGCTCTTGAGTTGTGGCGCCCGTCTTCAGTATGGAAGTATCCTCTCCCGATGTGAGTGGTTGTAGTTTTGGCCTCGTTTGTCCTTGGCGCCAGTTTACAGGCAGCTGCTGTTGTATGATGCGTTGAGCTTCAAGACGCTCACGCTCAGCAACACTCAGCATGTTAATGTCTTCACTTATGATGTACTGTTGCTTATGCAGATCGGTCACGTCTTCACCATACTGCTGGATGTCTTCTTTGCGCAGCACCTTCTGTATGGATCCCTTTGAGCTCTCATCCACAGTCATATAGACTGTGTCTTGTGTTGCGCCGCTCACTTTCTGTGTAGTTGTGGTTTGCGCCTCTAAATGACGTAGCTCCACTTCTTCAATTTTGAACTTCTCGATTTGGTTGTGCACACGCTGAACACTTTTCAGATGCTGACGCATTTCCTTCCATGGAATGGTGTCTTCCTTTTGATGTTTGGTTATTAATTTTTCGATCTGCTCTGTCATCTCAGTAATTTCCAAACTTTCCATGCTACGCAGCCTCTGAATTTCTTTAGTCCGTTCGATTTGCTCTTGTTGCGCCTGTTGCGGCGTTTGTTTGTCTATGATTATCGGCTGATCGATTGGTCGTAGGTAAACTTCATCCAAATCGAATTTGTCCAATTGCTTTTGTACGCTTTCGACATGTTTCAATTTCTCACGCATCACCACCCAAGCTTTTGTACGCTTTCGACATGTTTCAATTTCTCACGCATCACCACCCATGGAATGGCTTCCTTTTCACTCTTACCAGCGATGATCTTGTCGAGTGTAGCACCAATGCTCATCAAACCCTGATTGCGCTGATCTTTGATGGATTTGAGCTCAACTTTAGCTGCCTCCAATTTTGGAATGACTTTCTTTTCAATTGGTGTTGGTTTCAGACTTATAGTTTCTTCAGTCCATGATTTGATTGGTTCTGGTTTGTAACCGGGAAAGAAGGGTTGCTTGTCTAGGGAACGACCACGTCTAGGGCGAGATGATTTGCGCCAGGGTACAAGATTTGAATGTGGTTGTAAAGATTTACTGCGCGGTTTCTTAGTGCGTGCGCGTCCCTGATGGGGTGCCTGCCCGTTGATGGCCAAATATTGGCCATACTGTGGTGCGCCGGGCTGGCGTTGTGGATGTGGTGACTCGGGCGAGCTGTCTTCTTTTCCTGATGATGAGGTTTCATCATCTCCGGAATCGATTGGTCGTAACTGATAGGCCGAAATGCGTCGTTCTGAAAATTATATAGACGATTATTGATTATGGATAAATTGTGGGGACTTATTTGTATCATTAAATATCTTAATGTGATCTAAGTGAAGAAAGTCTAAGCAGGTCTCTGTTCACCGTCTTAGGCCAAAAACATAGTGGAGCGGCGAGCAAAGAGCAAAGAGCCGCTCAACTATGTTTTGACCCTTACCAGAATGGGTTTCAGCGCGTAATGGAAGCGTAAGCATTAGTTCATCAAATAGCAAAGCACAGGGTTTTAGAAAAGAGCTGGTACTTACTTTACTTCTGATATGAGTAGAAAAATTCAACCATTTTGACTTTCATTCGTTTTTGAATATTTTTGTTTGGGGGTTTTATAAGTACACCACATCAGCATAATGGATTTAGAAATGAATGCGAATGGTGAAACAAAATTGTTTCAATGGGAAGTTGAAATAAGCATTTGAAATCCGTTTTACAGAGTTGCAATGGCCGAGTGAGAAGAACACTGGGGCAGCGGATTTCTTTCTTTTTTTTTAATTAACATTTTTATCTTTTTTAATTTAGTATAATTTTTTTAATTTAATTATAATCTTTAGATTTTATTGTTTTAAAAAATAAAATATATATTTTTAAATTTTGGCACTTATTTTATGTATTTTTTCTTTTTCAATAAAATTTTTTTCTTTCTTAATTAATTTATTTTTTAATTTTTAGTTGTTATTCTTGAAAAAAGAAAAATTTTTAAAGCTATAATTATAGTTTGTTAGTTTTTTGAATAAATTTTATATTTTTTTATATTTTAATTGTAAGATTTTGCTTTAAAGTTAAATGTTTTTGTTTTTTATTTTTTTAAGTTTCAAGTACTACTATTTTCTTGT